GGGAGACAGGAGTTACCACATCATTACCATCGTTTCAACCTAAGCTACGACTTCTTGGCCTCAAAACAACTGGCAGCTAGTATACAACGAACTCTCCTTCCTACAGCACACGTAAACAGTCCCTGACTATTTCAAGTACTCATACAACAATTCTGTTTTTCACTTCCAGTATTTGTTCAATAAATTGCATGAGCTATTCAATACTTTATTATAAAACAGCCTTGTTAGATACATTTGCCCAACTGCAGGCTAACATTCTTGGCATGTTTAAGGGAGCCTAGGCTAAGCTATGAGGTTCAGTAGGTAAGGTATACTAAATGCATTTTTTACTTACAATACCTTCAACTTACAATGGGGTATCAAAGGTAACCACATTGTAAATCAAACAGCATCTGTATACCAAAACAGTAGCAACATCAGATTACCTTTAAGTCGTGTAATGCAAGGCAAAACCACTTACCCACAACCGCAATAGCAAGTGGCATCAACTGGCTTTCTAGGTTGCCCACCTTTCAGAGGAGTTTGTCCAAAAGCCTGCAAAGCGTAAGAAACAAATCCACTGGTACCCTAAATTAAAAAGCCAGCTCAGCTCCAAATATCCAATTCACTTAATTTTGCAGATTCTTTCCCCAAACACAATTAGTAGCCAATGTAGGAGTCAATGGCTTCCCCTTGTGTTCAAGTCCCCTCCTACCCATCCACCCCCTTTCAAAAATTAGAAAAGAGACACCAGTCTCCAAACTGGCTGATGAAACTTCAGCCTACAGGATATTTTCATACTTGAGTTACAATAAACCATTGAAATAAAGATGAAGTGGAGAGCTTAGTAACCCATCGGATAGAGCATTTTATGCCCAGCATTAGCATACAAGTTAAATCCAAAATCTTTAACCTGGGCCAAAGCCAAATAATTAAATTAATAAATCTCATTATCGATTCGATATTCCTTTGAGATACTCTAGTACCGAAAGTAGAAGCTATTTGCCTGTTCCTAGCTGTTTGCTTTAGTCATTTGCTTGCTAACTAAAAGACTTTCTGTTTGCAGTCAAGTCAGAATTAGTAATTCAGTACCAGGATCTACCTCGTCCCCTTCATTACCCCTAGAACTGCACAGAAAGCTCTGTTCAAGTTTTCGACAGTCCTTCCACAGGTGCCACTAGAATACTAGAACCTAAAACAGGTGACAAGTCTTCAATTTCTGATCGTTTTCTCCAAACACTAAAAGGATTTATTTAGCATTTCTAATACTGAGTTTACTACAAATAGCCCAAGCAACATTTAAGTCTCTCAACCGCCTGGCTCAAAGAGCCAATTCACTCAAAGAACACACTAGTCACTGTTGTGGGGTTCAAAAGAAGAAAAAAGCATATTCTGTTTCAGCCCACTGTGACATGGCTCAAGAGGGCCAAATCAAGGAGTCATGATTGGGCCTCTCAAGTGGACAATCTGGTCAAGGTGAGGCTAAAAAGCAGTACATTATTAGAGATGAATGCCCCCAGCAGGAGGCAAAAGTAGGTTACATCCCTTGGTTACATGCCAACACAAAGATGCCGACACAGTGGAATTGAGCCCCATAATGGTCATTTATCTAATGTAATCCACTGAGTGAATGTTTAGCACCAACCTACACCTCAGCTGAGCGTTACTAGTCATCAGGAGGACCAGACAAGAGTGGAACTATTGCAACATAAACTCTGCCTCCCTACAAAAGACAACCTGAAACTTAGATCCTGATGGACATCTTGGTAGACTGACAAGAGCATGTTATTAACACTTGCCCAATCTTTCAACTTTAAATACATGCAGAGCTGGAAGCAAAGGAGTATTTGAATACTAGAACACATTCAGAGAACATATTATGCAGTTTTAAATAGCAGCACATAAGACAAAATAAGGAAAGAGGTGTGCCCTCAACTGAACATCCTGCTGAAATCTGAACACTCAGCTTGAGATTTATCTGCTAGAAAATACCCAGGTGACCACTGCCCCTTCCTCTCCCACTCAGCAGAGTGACTTTTTTTTATTATGATAGTCCAACAGTACCTGCAAAAACAGTAAGTGCTAAGACCCTAGTTAAAGCAATAGAATTAGTCAACAAGCAGCATCATTTTTTACTTCCTCCTCCTTCTGGCTCTTAATTTGTTTGCCTACCTATTCTGAGCCCCACATCCACCTCTCTGACCTTATCACCAACCCTTCCCGGTGTTCACTAAGCTCTATTACTTACCCAACCCATCCTCTTCCCACTACCTCCCATCCAGCCTGACCCTTTCTTCCCATTCCCTGGACCTTGACAAGCACATTCCAGCCAATTTCTGCATCAGCTGTTCCCTGAATCTGGAAGGATCTTCCCCTTATCTTTGGCTGGCTCCTTCTTTAAACTTAAAGCTCAACTTAAGTGTCAACGTCCTCAGAAAGGTCCTCTTTGACTGTACCTACAGTTAAGACAATTCCTATCACATCACTCTTATTTTCTTCAGCACTTGATCAAAATCTGATTTATTGGTGTATACATTCTCTCTCTCTCTGTCCCCAGCTCCCACTCCGATGTAAGCTCCATTAGAGGGTGAACCTTTTGCTTGTGTTCACCTTTGTACACCCAGTGCCTGAAACGCTGGCTAGCACTTAGCAGTCAATAAATGTTTGCTGAATTAATGAATTGTGGACTTTTTATTCAATGGCAAACTAGGTTTCAAATCAGTTAAAGTGAGAACAGTAGTCATTCTTCTGTTGTATTTTTGTGAAACACCTACACACACTGTTACTGGTACAATCAAAGCATTAAATATTCTGTTTCATAGGGTCTGAAAGTCCTGAACAGGACTTCCTAGCATCAGATATTCCTAGCGCTATACATATCAAGCTCAGTTACAGAAGGACAGGATTTATGGGCACTTTCTCATCAAAGGACTCCTAAGGCCGGGACTGGTGGCTCACGCCTGTAATCCCAGTACTTTGTGAGGCAGAGGTGGGCAGATTACATGAGGTCAGGAGCTCGAGGCCAGCCTGAAAACATGATGAAACCCTGTCTCTAAAAAAAAAGACTCCTAAAATGTGGGCACTACCTCTTAAAGTTCTTCAGAAAACAGTTTCAGATCCTACAAAAGATTTCCTAAGAATATATCAATATCAAAAGGAAAATCATTACTCTTCACTCTGAAATCCGTATGAGAGGCTAGATTAAAACTAACAACATATCAACAAAGAGGCCTTCTTTCCATTCTCTGCTTTCTTCAAACATTTTTTTTCATATCCATTGTTGGTTTGTATTCGCCCTTAAAACAAAACTAAACAGACTAAACAGATCACATTGTCTCATTTAGGACCCCCTGTACACAAAGAATCAGCTATATAAAGATGAAAATCAGCACAAGCTGAATGTCACTGAAGGTTCGTGTGCCACACACAAATGGAGAAAAAGATAAAAGAGCTATTGTCCAATTGTAGAAACAAAAAAGTAATATGGGGTTTTCTGTTCTCTGAAGTGCATCATGAAAAGTGGGTGGAGAGAAACACAGAAATCCAGAATTAGCCTAGCAAATCATTTTGGGAAGAGCTAACAACATGTAAATTCCTCACACATAAAGTATTTTGAGCAAGAGACCTTGATTCCTGGGCTATGATGCCATTCAGGATTCCTTGCAAAGGCTTTGGAACTCCAGTATTCATAAAAGAAAATGCTCATTATAATCGGAGCTACCCGGCGTCAGAGGTACTCCCAACGTGACAGCCTGTGTGAAGTATTACAAAGCTTGCAGTTAAGATCTGGGATAGAGGCTGAACACCAAATTCAAAAGAGGTAACCAAGGCACTAAGTGCCATAAAGGAAGAAAGGGGAAGGAAAAAAAAACAAAACGATTGCCACTCAGCCAGAGAATTAAAGTGGAAACCAGGGGTGTGCATGGGGGAGGATGAGGGGTGAGAAGTGGGGGGGAGGGCAAACAATACATTTGTCACCCCGTCCCACTTCCTACAGAGGATACAGGCAAAGCCTCCAGCCCCATTACCTCGGACACAGATGGTTATCGTTTACAGCAAAGGTGCACAGAAAGGCCTTCAGGTCTGAGCCCCTTAATTCCAGGCTGTTAATGATTAAAGAGAAGGATGGGGGTGGGGAGGGAAATGAGGGCGGAGGGAGCTGGGAGATTCACCCACCACCTCCCCCTTGGGTTCCTACCTCACAGCGCTCACCCAGGACATAGGACCAGAGTTTGCACCTACTCCAGGGCAGCTCCAACCCCAGGTCCCCAGGCCCTGGGTTGAGAGGTGCTGGCCGTGGGAAGGCAGAGACAGTAGGTAAGTTTTCTGAGCCCTGCGGCTGACACGCCACAGGCTCCCCTCACAGCCTCTTCTTCCAGAGGGACCAGTCCAGACAACGCGCTGGCTTCCACTCCTCCCTTTCCACCCCTCTTTCTCGAAGGTACCCCACCCCCGCCCCTTCCCCTCTCAATGCCCCCCCGCCTTTTCCTTAACTCCCCCCCTCCCCAAAACTCACAGCTGCTCCAGAGGTTCTTCCAGTCAAACCCTTTCTGGAAACGACGGCGGCCCGGCGGGTCCAAACCACCTACCATCCCCGCTCGCGTTTCCAAGCTCCCTACCCCCGCCGCCGCCGCCTCTTCTTCCACCACTGCCACCGCCTCCTCTTCATCTGCGGCCCACCGGCGGCGGCCGCCCCGAAGCCCCGCCCCCTCCATCGCCTCCTGCATCATCACTTCCGGTAACCCCGCCGGCCGCCAGCTCCAGGAGGGAGAATGGGAGAGGGGCGAAGAGGGAACGAGTGGAAGATTGCGTCAGGACGCACGCAAAGACGTACGAAGCCGTCGCCAAGTAAGGGCAAAGACCTAGCAACCCGGAGGAGGGAGCTGGGCTGGACCATTTTTTTTCTTTTTTTACGGGAATGGAGTGGGGAGGGTGACGAAAGCGTAAAGGAAAAATAGGCAAAGGAGGAGCTCAGCTTATTGTTGGATGCAGCGGGAAATGGGTACAGTCTGAGGTTCAGAGAGGCTCGAGACTACCCCAGACCTGGAACTGGTGCTCCCACAGAGGTGGGCCCTGTGGTTTGGTCCGGCCTGGCCTACTGGACCCGCCTGTGTTTGATCGGCCGCGGCTCCGCTAGGCTCCTGGCGCCGCCTCCTCCTAGCCGGCCGCGGGCTCCGTGCTTCTGTGGGTGGGGGAAGGCAGGACTGACGCAGAGTGAGTGTAGGGGATGGAGGCACCGACTCCAGGCGCGGGAGACTCGCGGGGGAAGGGGTTGGCTCGCCAGGGCAGGGATGGGTTGGAGGTTGGGGTGCGGCGTTGCCGGGAGACGCGCTTGTGTGACCCCAGCCTCGCGGGGCGGCTCGGTGTCATCGCCACCGGCCTCGGGACCTTACTCAAGGAAGTGGCTCGCGCGTCCAGGAGGAGAGGCCTAGTATGGGGACGCTCACGTGCCAGCTTGGGGGTCCCCCGGAGGCTGTGAATCTTTTGGAACCCCGAATGTAAATGGGAGGTGGTAGGGGTCGCTCGAGGACGAGAGGTGTCTGTCTGGGGAAAGTTGACCCAAACCATGTCCCGTACAGGAACGGAGACTCCCTAGGACAGTGAGAGCCAGCTTCATAATTTCCTTGCTCTGTTACTGAAAAGTAACGAGTACAGGAAAGAGTTAAATCAATAAAGAAGGTATCAGCAATGAGAAATGCCCCCCAAAGACCAGATGAGGTGACAGAAGATTGGGGGACGGTCCCTCGAAATCGGGTAAGGCCGTTCAAAGGAGGCCACGGTTTTGCGGGGATCCGAGACAATGGGTTTTCTGGGTGGAGAGAAGAGCTAATGAGAAGGATTTTTAGGTTGGAAACCGCCAGAAGGCCTTGTGGCTCAAGCAGGGCCAGGGGCGGAGTGCTCTGCGGCGTAGTTGGAGAAGTGGCAGGACTCTAGCAGCACCTTTTAGCCAAAGGCAGGGGTTTGGCTTTTGTGTACCTGAAGGGTTTTAAGAAGGGAAGTGACCTGACTTGATTTGCATTTTTAAAAATAGCTCTGCCTGCTGGATAGAGAAGGGTGGAAGTAGTTAGACCTGTTAGGAGACTGTTGCACCGTAAGACAAAGGAAAGGTGACGATAGCGTTGAAAGGCCCTTAGTCACAGTAGAAATGGAGAGAATTCCATTCAGCATATATTTGGGAGGTGCTTGCAGGACTTGCTGGGGAATTGGATGTGAAGTGTGGAACCTAGGATAACTCCCTAAGGGAAAACAGCTTAGAAAGGAATATGGAAAGTTCTCTTTTGAACGTATTACCTTTGGTAAGTCCATTAACAATTCAAATGAAGTTGTCAAGAAGTTAGATACACAATTCAGGGGAAAAATCATAGCTGGATATAATAAATGGGGAAGGCAGGGAGGACCGAGGAAGAAGAGGGTGTAAATGGCTTGCACGGTGGCTCCTGCCTGTAGTCCCAGCACTTTGGGAGGCAGAGGCGGGCGGATCAGAAGGTCAGGAGTTCAAGACTAGTCTGGCCAACATAGTGAAACCCTGTCTCTACTAAAAATTAGACGAGTGTGGTGGTGTACACCTGTAATCCCAGCTACTCGAGACCTCGAGGCAGGAGAATCGCTCGAACCCGGGAGATGGAGGTAGGTAGCAGTGAGCCGAGATCATGCCATTGCACTCCAGCCTGGGCAACAGAGCGAGACTCTGTCTCCAAAAAAAAAAAAAAAGAGTGCAAATGAAAGAGGAAGACCCCTAGATCCCTTGGGTTCTTACCATTTAGAGATTACTCAGTGAAGGAGAAGCCAGCAAAGGAAACAACACAGACAAGACCTCAGAGATAAAAGGTGGAGGCCCCTTAATATCCTGGAATAATGGGACCCATCCCCGTAATCAGTGAGTCTCATCCACCCACTTGCCAGCTTCTGCCGGCAGCAAGGAGAAGCTATGTCCTGGCTCAAATCTCTTCCCTCCCCCCCTCCCAGCTGTCAGTGCTTTTGTACTTGTGCACAGGTAATTTGTGTCCTATATAGAAAACCTGACTTTTTGGATAAATCGTCTTTTTCTTTGTGTCTTCCTGGCTCCTGGTACAGAGCCTTATCCATATGGTGGTTGTAGCTGGGCAGGAACACTGTTCACAAGTTAGCCATGGAATCCAGCAGCTTCTCACAAAAAGGGACATTTGTCCCTGCCACTGCTGCCAACCCCACCACAATTACAGTCAGTCCCACAATAGAGTGGAAAGGGTATCAGAAGAAGAATCAGAAGGCCTGGGTTTCAATCCTGGATCTGCCACTGACCAGCAGAGTGGCCATGTATAAAGCTCTTCTCTCTGAGCTGACGGTTGGCCTAGATTCGAAGTTGCAAACTGACAAGACAGATATTGCCTGCAAACATATTGTTCGGCCCACACAGTGATTTAAATTCTTTTTAAATTTACTTGCCGACACTTAAAAATTGGACATCAAAATCCAGACTTTTGGCTTCTTTTGAAAAATCCGACAATCTGACAATACCAGCCTGAAGTTCCTAGAGGTTCCTACACAGCAGCTGTCAGCCAGACCTGGAGAGCTGCTTCCCCTCCTATGTGGCTCAGGCTCAGGGTTTGCCAAAAAGCCCTCTTCTTCTGCTAACCTCGCTGACCCCCTGTGGGCATTTGATTTGCAATTCTTGGTCTAGGTCTGTGCTATCTCCTGTGTAGCCACTAACCACCTGTGATTAAATAAAAATACAGTTCCTTCAACACACCATATTTCAAATGCCAGTAGCTACCTGTGACAGGTGTGTCCTATTGGACAGAGCAGCTAGAACATTCCCTTCACAGAAATCTTGGTCGGCACTGGGCTGGAGGAACTTGAGGGTTCTACGTAGGCTAGTCATTCTCCTCATATGAAACTCAAGGGACTTAGCATAGTGAGGAGCTCTGGTACCTCTGCCAATGGTAAAGTTGCACATTCAATAGTTATTTCATGGCGGAGGAAACTGTTCTGAAGGTGTGGATCCCTGCACAGAATGCAGTTATTTATCAGAGTTAGATCAAGGGTCAGGTGCTAGAAAGCCCCAGCTACATCAAACGTTTCATGCAAAGCTCTGGTCAGTTTCCTAATCCAGTTCCTCAGAAAACTATCACAAAGCAGGAATTTAAGTCAGTGTCTTGTATTCTCAGACTTCTCTAGTTGATGTGAAGGGTAAAAGATCCTGGCTGGGAAGTTATGAATGAATGAATGAATGGTTGATCTTTAGCGTTTTGTTGTTTTTGGCCTTTACTTCCAGCCCCTCCCCTACATCTCCTCCACTGTCCCCTACTTCTGGTAACTGGTAACTGCTTTTCACCACCTCTCGCTGACCCACACCTTTTCTTTGACTGTTAAAATATGCTGATAAGGAAACCGCTTCTATTTCTTTTGAATTGAGGGACCCATAACTTCTCATTTAGAACTGCTGTCCCTGAAGGGAAAAATGGCTATTGGTTGTTATCTTGGTTACAGTAGCCTGATAGGAGTTCCCCTGCACAAGTATAATCGTGTATGCTCTGGTGCTGGTATGATATATTTAGAATGGGTGTGCTTGCCTCCTGTGACCTTGTTTGGGATAGTCATTTTAGAAGTCTTTCAGACATTAATATTTTGTTTTGGCCCTGTGTTCTAAAAATTTCCCATATTACAAGGCCTAAACTAAATTATTTTCCCTTAGGTGATACGAAAATACTGTCTACCCTCTCCTCCCTGCCCCCTGTGGCTGACAGACCATATTATCGTCATTTTCTGTGTAAAAAGATGCTGTTTCATAAAATAGCGGCGGTATGATTAAGTATACCACACAAGCATATCCTGAAATTTGCAAAACAGTGTGTGGCATTACACTTCCCTTTTTGGATTCTAGTAACCAAAAACTGAATCTGAGACAGGAAATAAGTTCATGGGTGTGTGTGTGTGTGTGTGTGTGTGTGTGTGTATGTGTGTGTGGTTGATGGATGGGGGCAAGGATATGGGACCGGAAATGTATGGAAAAACGTATGGAGAATCACTTAAAGGTTATTTGATTGGGGTAAGATTATGGGTGTACACCACAAAGGCAGGAGTATAACAGATCTAAGAGAAAAGTGCACTGAGGGATAAACAAGGAGTAAGAGATAAAGGAAGAAAAATAGGAAGGGAAGCCTGGTCATGCCTTTGGTGTTGGCACCTGCATTATATTTCCAGTAAGAAGTATGCACTGTGGTCTGAAGATAAGCGATGCTTCCAACAGGGTTATTTACTCATACCAAAGAACAATAGCCCTTTGCTGTACAGGGATTATTAATGATCAGAGGGAAACAGCTTTAGGAAAATCCATTACTACCACAAAGCCATAAATTCACCAACAGGCCACACATTTCTCTCTTCTGCAGACAAAGCTTAGCATAGATAAAAGAGGCCTCATTGTTCCTCCTCCGTTTCCTCCTATTTAGGTAACATTTGCCTTTGTTAAATCTCAGTGCTAAGTGATGTACATGGGTTCTTTCATAAATAATCCTCACGAAAGGGGTTTTGCTATCACCCCATTTTAGATTCTTAGAAACCAAGTCGCAGGCAGGTTAATAATTTGCCCAATCAAGGTTCAAACCCAGTTTTGTCCCCAGAGCCCAAAATAAATGTTCATTTATTTTGTATTATATCTGCTATTCTTTACAAATGTAGAAAAACTTCTAAAGCCAAGACAGACATTCTCTACTCTGCTATACAGGGCAAGAAAGTCTGGTTGCTTTGACATTATCAAGAGCATTTCAATTCAGTAGAGGTTTTCCAAATGACAGCTTTAAGTCACAGTTTTCTAGATTGAGTTTAACTGCTGATCATTGAGTATAGTGGACCATATTCCTCAAAAGAATTGTGTTTTTCAAGAAAAAAGTATCAACCCCATTTTTCTGTTTGGTTCTAAGCTTCATGGAAATACTATTAAAGCATTTCAGGCCAGTGGACAAATGCTAACTGGCCTTAAAAATACTCAAGTGTGAGGGTTGCATCATAGCTGTTTCTTTTACGCTGTTCTAGATGAAACTGATGAGGATTCCTCCCCAAACAACACTGAGTCTTCAGTTCTTTATCCTGATACATACTGGTCTCAGAAAGCATCCTAGTAAGGGTTAATTAATGTTTAACCCTTAAATACTCTGGGATCATCAGTTGGGAAGCTTGGTCCGGCTACCGTCGTGTGTATCTCAGGGTGAGAACAGACATTACCAGTGACCATT